TGTTCACATCTGCAGCTGGACATTCCCCTCTTCCTTCTACCATTCTCTTCCATACCGCTTTGATAAGAAGATTGTGGAAAATGTGGAAGCTTCTAGAAAACCTGAGATACAGAAGTAGACCCAAAAAAAGAGGTTATAAAAATCGGTAGCTGCTTAAAGGATCATATCATAAGGCCGAATTTTAAGAGAAGGCTGGCCTTTTGTTCTTGTTGTTGTTTTATAATCCTGCCTCAGATTATCCTGCACACACTATCTGAATTGTTTCATTTCATTTTGTTAGGCTGCTTAAAACTCCACCCAGAAGAAGGGATTTGGGGCTAGCAAGCGTCCTTTTTAAAACGTAACTTCTGAGGTCACCTGGGTGGCTCAGTCAGTTAAGCGTCTGACTCTTGGTTTCGGCTCAGGTCATGATCTCAGGGTTTGAGATTGAGCCCCACTTCGGGCTCTGCACTCAGCAGGGAGTCTGCTTGAGAGTCTCTCCTTCTGCCCCTCCCCCTGCTTGCTCTCTTTCTCTCTAAAAATAAATAAATCTTAAAAAAAAAAAATAAAACTACAACTTCTGGCCGAGTTAGTGATCTTTGAGTCGTTCATACCTAAGTATGAACTACTTTAATCAACTACTGTCCTTCTGTCAGTCAGCTGAGGAAATTTCCCTGGTGAAATACAAACACACCGGGTGAGGGAGGTGGACCAAAAGGGAACAGGGCAAACGCCATGGTATTTCAGAATGTTTTCTAAGGCAGACCTTTCTCTTCCAAGCAGCAAACATAACTACAACTGAAAGGGTAACATGAGGGATCACTGTAGTGATAGAACTTTTCTGGATCTTGACTGTGGTGGTGGTGGTTACATGAATAGATGCATATGATACAATCGCATTAAATTAACACCCACAGGCACACACACACAAGCGTGCGTAAAACTCATGAAATCTGAATGATGTGGGTGAATTGTGTCAACATCCGTTTCCTGGCTGTGCTACTGTACTGTGTGGTCAGGCAGGCTGTTACCTGGGTGAGGGATAAATGAGAGGGCTCTGTATTATTTCTTACAATTGCATGTGAATCTACAATAATGTTAAAGTACATGAAGGTTTTAAAACAAATGGACCAGAACTGTTTTCTTATAACAGCTGGCTGGGCAGAGGGGTGCAGAGATGATTCCATCTAATCTGGGAAAGTTAGGCCAGGAGTGATAGTCTTCATAGTGGTTTAAAGCAGGTTTCAGCTGTGAAAACAAGTATAAGGGCCATTATTGCTGGAATTTTTTTTCTGTGTTAATGTTGTCTAGAGTAAGGGGATTGTAAGAGTGGATGTACCCTCATCACTGGAAGTCCTCAACATGTAAGGGTAGAAAACAATTGGGTGTTTGAAATTAATAGAACCTAATAATGACTTCTTATGTATCTGCCCTTAAAGGTGCCAAAGCTCAGGCACAAAATTTATTCTTATAATCTTCTGGGAGGATAAGGCTATTCTTCTATCCTTTTTCCTCAATCTCTCCTCTCTCTGTCTCCCCCTCCCTCCCTTTTCTCCAGCCCCCCCCCCCATTCACTTTGTTGACAGGTGACAATCTTGACTTAAATCCAGTGCTCCCTTGAAGGGTATTGCAGCAAAAGAAATTAACGATCCTTAAAATTTTATTTTACAGCAAACAATTCTTCAAAGAATTTGTCACGTATTGCCAGCATTATTCTTTTGCACATTCTCATCTTTTATGCTAAGTATTCTACTAGTCTTGTTTTTAGGTGACCAGTAGAAATTTATCTCACTTTGAGAACTTGGATTTTATTTGAAAATGCCTTTTCAGGTAAATCAGTTTTATTCTAGTGGGAAGATAAAGCTCATTGCCTTTAAAACTTCAAGTAAAATGGTTTTCAAAGCTTCATTTGCATTATTCACTGAAATTATTGGAGAAATTTGAGTAGCCAGGCAGCACTCAATTTTTATTAGGTATTTGAACTGATTTTTCCAACTGTGATAACCTTGTAATCATGCACAGTTTGGTGTTCGTTGAAATTTACTTAGTATTGTGCTTAATTGGTGTTGTCCTTTGTCTTTTGACAAAGGTTGTTAAGTTCATTGTCAATACAGTTTAAAGATACATAATGAATTTCCAATTCATCAAAATAGTTTGCACCTGAGAGTCTTTATTCTCTCCTCTTATCTTTGATTTGTGATGATAGAATTTAACGTTGCAGACCCTGCATTTGTTTCCAACATATGCTTGTCCAAGGGATATTCGGTCAAGTACAGTGGATCCCTCAGATCGCACACTGTATGTTCTCACTTGAAGTATTCTTTATAAAAAAAATTCCACTATTTGTTTAATGACTCAAATTGATTAATGTTTATTCATTTGTAAATTACACCCTGCCTACTTTAATTAAAAAGCAGGTAAGGTAGCTTACCATAAGAGCAATATAAAACATCTTTATTTTCTACACAATTAGTAATCTCATGTTATTTCTCCACTTTTATGAGTTTTTCCCTTGTATTTTAACAATGTCCTTTCTACTCCCCATAGATCGGACTATAGAATTCCCCAATCTGCTGAATTTTGCCTTGTGTTCTCCTTGTGATTCACCTGTCTGTGTTTACTCTCTGCCACTCGAGCTCACACTCCTGAGGAGCAGAGGTCCTGTCTGATTTAGATGAGCTCCTCTGGCACTTTGTAGGTCTTTACTTTGGACTTCATGTCACTTATTGTTTCCTTACTGGGCCAGTAATGAACTAAATGCTTCCTACTGCCTATATAGTACCTGCTTTTAGGTTAAATGTGGGAGGTGACATATGAACTTTCTCAAGCCACAAATTAAAATGTGTTGCCTTTACTTTGAGGAGGGAAGCCCCTTTGAGGAGCTGTTCACTAATGGCTGGTTCACAGACTCCCAAAGAATCTTGTCCTGTGGCTTACACAGCACTCTATATTATCTCCTCGTGGCCTCACGACAACTCTCAGAAGCAGGTTTTCTTTTTCATTTCTGAGGAAAGCTTCTCCAGGAGCTTTCCTGGACCAAATGTGTGAAAGAACTAGGACTCGAATCCAAGTCTTCTTCCTCTGAAGTTAGTGTTCATTCCAGTAGACCACGTCTGGCTCTAGGAGGAAGCTTCTATGGAGTCACGTCTGAGGCCCAAACCAAAAGCCCAGACTGAGCTCGATTTTGCCCCTGTTCCTTCCAGGAAATGCTGCGCACTTTTGTGGGATAGGAGTCATCAGCACTGACGTATTTACCTGTAATTTCTTGGATACCTACCCTTCATATCCATAGGGTAGGGTAGAGAGTCATACCCCTAAGATAATGGGTGCCTGTGGATACTTACTGTACCCGTCCAGGTGGCCAGGAGCATGGGAGAGAATGCAGGTAAGCCTGGTATAAGCCCTGGGGAGTCCTGCCTCCAGTCATCGCAAAGTGCATCCACCCAAACATCTGTACCACAAGACTATAAATGCTGTCAGGGCTGCAAGCATGTTCCCCTCTATTTAAGATTTCTTAGGGTCTAACATAGCACCTGGTACACAGTAACGATATTTATGGAATAAACAAATTCTTCTTGGCAGGAAATATAATAATATTCAATCTTAAAGCTCTAGAATGTCATATAAAGATGTATGGACCAAAACAGACACTAGAAGGTCTCTTTCTAAATATTTTGATATTTGGATTCAATAAGGTCTCTTATAAATTCACAAAATTCATGAATTCTGCCCCTTCACTCAGAAAGGTCTATGTCAAGTTATATCAGACTTAATATAGGTGTTGTCAGTTATGCAAGACAAAGTGAAGAGACTATTCTCAGGTTTATACAAGGCACATTAAGAGGCTTAAAAATAAGAATCAAAATTTTGAACTTTGCAGGTTTAACAGGAATTAAAACCCTGGGTCAATATGCATCAGTAAGTTTTAATACCAGCGTTCTAGCAAGCAGTCACTCATAAACCACACACACACACACACACACACACACACACACACACACACAAAGAAAAACAAAAACAAATTTTATGAGATATCATGATGGCTTCATTGAAATTATTTCCCAAATATTAACCTTAAGAAAGTAAAATCAAATATCAATACTGCCTCTAATACTTAAATCTTCAAAGCTGCCTAATTCAGGCAGTAGCACACAGCGCGAATTTACGTCCTCCCTCACCCTGACTCTCTCTCCAAATGCTGTCAAATGACTTTCACTAATTCTGTCTTAGAAAATGTGCAAAAAGGATTTCCATAGAGGTCTTTGGAGATTTCCTGTGTCCTCATGTGTGTAATAGGTTGGGTCAAGTAACAATGAAGGAAGAAGAAAGAATAGGAATTTTGTTTTACATATTTTCCTCCTTCTGGCCACTGAAAGAGAAAAAATAAAAAGGGAAATTACACCATAAAGACGGTGTCAGTGTTAAATTAAATTAAGATCATATGTTTGGCGGTGGCAGCCATAATCTTTTGATTATTGAAGAGATTGTTGGTAATGAAGTACATTTTTAAGAAATATTTTTAGTGTATACCGAATCCATGCACAAACTATGAGATATGCTTCTAATAAAATGATAGATTTAGAAATTGCCTAGCACCTAAATTCACGCTTTTCAAAACAGCTATTTATAGAAAGAAAAGTGATATTTAAGCTACCCCAGTAGAATATTATAATGTGCCTTCTATTACCTTAGATAATAGTACCATATTTTAAAATAATGTTGTGAACCATTCAATTATTTATTCACACCTAAGTTCTATAAATTGGAAGATTTGGGATTGTGCAAGAAAAGAATTATTTTTACGAAAGTAAGACCTCACTGTCATGGCTTAAAGACATTGCTGTGAAACAAGTTATGCTATAGATAAAAATAAACGAAACCTACATGAATTTTTAATAAACAAAAAATATTTTATGGAGACATTAAAAACAACTATTAATTTTCATCTTTTCTGTTATGAAATGAAACATCGGTGAATCTGGCCTTGCTGTATATTTAGTACGTATTTCTTTTCCTGATAGGTCCTTAACACTTACAGTAAAATCTCCACAGACCTGGATGATGATCTCAGCCTGGGGAGAGCCTATGAAGCAATAGCCAAGGTCCTGCAGAGGTAAGTTAGCACATCCTTGTCTTGCTGTCACTGTGAATTCACTCAGCTGTGAAAGACTTAAATTGTTTGAGGTCTGTCGCTTTCCATTACTGCCTGCTTAAATTTTAAGCAGTGCCCTTCTTAAGTGACCCTTTCATCGTAAGTTATTTTAAACCAATGTGGTATTTTAAAATATGCACCTAAACTCCCCTTTGTCTATGCCTCCTTTGTACTATTTTATTTTTGATTTTCTGTAAGTTTAGTGATGACCTTGAATGAAAGGGAAAAATCAGGTCACATCTCAGGTTAAAAAAGCAGAGAGCACAGAAATATATAGTACGCTTCAGTAACCATGGCTCAGCGTAACCTTTCCGGATCTCTTCTTGGAGGAAAGTTTTCATTTATGCTTCAGTCTTGCTTCTTCCATTAAGACATGGCTCCTTTGAGCGTACATATCTGGATAAACAACTGAATGCGAGAACAATATTCCCTCTATTTCATTTAAAACAGAAAATTTAATATAAGTATACCTGAACAACAAATTTTTCCATGGAAAACATATGATTTGCCCTTTACTCATACTGTGATCATTGTGTACTCCATTTAATTATTGCATTATGTTGTAATGTTATTATTTAATTCAAGGTAGAATAAGAAAAGTCATCAAAATTAAGGCCTTGGTTTTTGGTATGTTATCTTATACCCAAGAGATGGCTTTTTAATAATGGTGGTGCTGGTAGTAGTTGTAGTTAGTAGTGGTAAGAAGAAGAAGAAAAAGAACAGATACAGTTTATGTCAAGTTCTAATTCCTGTATTTCAGCTTGTAAACACATACGAAGTAGTGTTTTTAAAAGATAAAATTGTTATTTAAAAGGCATTTAAAAGATTAAATGTCTAGTGAACTGAAAGTACATCATCTTTATATAATGACCACTGCCAATATAATAATCAATAATTAAATATTAAAATACCCATGCCAACAGAATGAAAAGTCCCTACGAAATACCAAGTAAAAGACAATGCAGTCATCACTGGATAAGTGGTTAGGGACACAGATGTATCTATAAGGAAAGTATGGCTGTTTACTCCAGGAAGGTGGGGCCAGCCATGGGTAAAGCAACCTGTGAGTGTTGTGGTTCTTCCAAGTAAAGATCGGTGACTAGCCTGTGGAAAATCAACCCAGCTAACCCTTAAACGTTTACTTTCCATGTAACAACTGGAAAGAAGCAGATGTTTGAACACAAAGAAGAGATTTATAAGTTTTCAATTTAATGTCTATTTGTAACACACCAATTCTGTGTCCTTTGGTGCAGTTCATTTTGATTATTAAATTACTTGACTCCGTTGTTAACATGGCCCAGAATTAGTAGAAAATGGTTGGAGTATTTGCCTTGCTTTGTAGTAGCAGACCTGGCCTAAACCTATACAGTTAAATAAATGCATCCCTTAACATGTTTATAAAATAATTTTTACAAAATGACATGTGTTCCAACATGACTAAAGAGATAAAACTCCAGGGGAAAATATTTTCTTTTATAAACATATATTGAGCACTTACTATGTCATAAGGGTTGGAATGCTGCTTTGGTTACTGTTAGTTTTTCTTAAACTTCTGGATGCATGAAATTATCTTAAAATAATTCTCACCTGTTAAAGACTAGTGTCTCTCTTGGAATATTTTAATCTCCACTCAAGGAACTGAATTCTTGGTCTATATGGTAAAAGCTAAGGGGAGAGTTGAACAATCTGGTAAATTTTGGCAACAATAACAGACAGACAATTTAATGTTTTAATTTGGCTGCTAAAGTGCTACTTGGGGCTTCGATGTGGAAAAGGATACAGCTATATTTGATGTATCGCAAAGTAGGGTGTGTTTTTGGCAGGAATGGGGAAAATTCTATTCCAACAGTCTGGGAACCTGCCTTGAGGCAAACATATAATAGGCGGGAAGATTGATCCCCACCTCATTTTTATACCCAATGAAACAAATTCCACTTGTAAGAATTCCCATCTACTAAGTACCAGTGAAGCCATCAATGATTTGTATGGCAGACCTGGGTTCTTAGTTTTATAATGTTATATGATATACAAGAGAATACAGGAGATGCTTCTTCTGGGGCTGTAGGGAAGAAGTACCCCAGTACACTGCAAGCTTTCCAATCCAAATCTACTATTTTGCAGCATTGTTGGTGGTTATGGAGTAGCATTCAGGGGAGTGTAAGCCTCAGCATATTCTTTTACCATTTGTGCAAAATAACTCAAGAGACAGATGTTTCAAAAACAAACACTCTCTTCAGATAGAAAACACACCCTAGTTATCTAAGAAGATGTATTAAATCAAGTTCACTGATGACTCAAAATGCCTTGATACAAATTTTGTGGTCATTTTTTTTAAAATTTCTCTTTATGGGCACCTTTCATGCACACACACACACACAGACACACACACACACACACACACACACACACCTCTTTCATGGCCCTAAACTGCCCTCAGATTAGCAGCAACATGCAAGAAATGAAGCACAACCAAAATAGGGGAAATTATGGGAGCAGCGGCGGAGAAATAAATCAAGCGGGACATGAAATGTTACATCTTCTCTAAATCTCTTTTTCCTAACCTGTGCAATTGCACAAGTTTCACTAATGGTAGCCCCATCTCTATAAATATATTTTATCTCCTTAAAGGAAATGGAAGAGGATAGCCATGTCTAGCAACAGTGTGTATCTAAGGCTATCAGCTGAGCGTGCATGAAAGGTGAATAATCTCTAAGGCTAGAGGCTTCTAAAATGGTTATAAGAATTTATACTAAGCCTTCAATTGAAAAACACGCCATATTCCCTCAAGACTAAGGACTTGGCAATACAGAGTTGTCCATTTGGTAATGCTGGACCCAGCCATGCCATTAGAGTTACTATTGATGAAGGTTTTAATAGTAAACAGTGTTTGTTATTTTTGCTGTTTTTCTGAATAATATTAATTGCACAAGGGGTTAAGGAGCATAACAGAAAATAAGCATTACAATGTCTTTTCCCACCCTACTTGGAATACTAGAGAAAAAAAGGGGGGGTTGATATTCTAAAATGATAAAAATTGCCTATGACACAGCTATAAAAGCCAGAATTATGGTCCATAAAACAAAGAGAGACTGAGTTGAGAAATTACCAAGTAAATATTATTATTTGAGTAAATACAGAGAGCAAAATTCCTCAGTTTTCTTTATGGCATTTTTTTTGCTTCATTTACTGAAATAACTCATTTTATGGAAATGCTGAGACTCTCCAAATAATCAGGATGACTTTTGAAAAGAATCTAGAGGAAAAAATCACCAAAATGAGAACTGGTCAAGACACATTGGTCACAACTAGCCTACCTCTGGGTTTATTCCATACTCATTGTAAATTTTCTTGCAAACTCGGGTTAAATTATTTCCTAGCAAACTTTCCACAGTGGAGATCTTTCAATCAATCAGTACAAAGTTTCAAGTGTGAAAATTACCTTTCTGTTATAGCTGAAAATTAATTTCTTTTTGCTTGAGAGAAATGACATGCCCTAGTAATTTTCATATATTCTTTAAAATGGAACATCCAGGCTTTGATGCGAAATTTCCTAAAAATGACCCCCCAAAAATACATCAAAACATTTCTATTAATTCATGAAATTAAGAATAGCTTTTTACATTTTCTCCTGTCACTGATTCCATTTGCCTTATTACTTTCATCTGTGGCCCACAAACTTGGTGGCACAATCAACAATCCCCTTAGTGGCTGTTTCATCTCTGCTCTATTTGATTTCTTCTCTCTGAGTAAATGATTAAGTTTTCATGCATTGGTTCAGCCAAAATCTATGTTCACTCAACCACATCCTTTATTGATTACTTCTACTGCAAACAGTAGGCCAAGTGTGATATACATAATTGGACAGTTGTCAGGGGATGTGGGTGTTAACAGTCCTGTTTTCCCAGTTGGAAACTGGAATCACCTTGATACACAAATATTCTGCACTGTTTCATTCTCATCCTTTGGACCGAGGAGTCCTGTTCCTCAGAATATATGTTTTTAACTCTCTAAGGTCTGGTTGAATGAATTTAATGATTATACCATATAATATGCTGTTCAAGTTGCACCTGTGCACTGCATATAGAAAACTGGAATTAATATTTGTCTAACATTTTAACCTTATCCTTTAACTTATACAAATAATCTGTAGCTTTTCTACAAGAAAATATTTGTTCTTTCCCTTCCAAAGGAAGATTGGCTTCTAAATCTATTGCCAACTTGGAAATTTGGAAATCCTTTGAGCAACACATAATGTGTACATTTCAGATGCTATAATAACAATTTTGCTGGCTATAGAGCTGTACCTTCATTGAGTGGAGCATGTAATTTATACTAGAAAGGCTTTTTCTCTAGCATTATTTGTTAGAGCAAGTTCTAGATAATTTTAGATGTTTTGGAAATCTATCGCTACTTTGGGAGAAAAACAACTGGACTCAGCCAGCAATACTTTTGTTTATACTGTTTTGTATTTCTTGCACCAAACTCGGTTTTTGTTTGTATATGTTGTGATTTAACAATTCTCAGCCTGCCAAGCCTAATCTAAAATGTACTTCCAACAAAAATACATCAGCTTTAAGGAACATGAAATAAATAACCTTCAGTGAGTCCATTTTAGCTAAACAAAAATAATAATTTTTCCCTGAGGTTTTAAAGTGATATTCAAAGAAGTCTCTACTTTTTTTTTTTCTTATATCATCAACTTTTTTTCTTGAATATTACAGTCCAAGAAAGAGCTTGGAGAGTTCACATCAATTTGATAAAACATTTTTAGTCCTAGAAATCCACAAGTTTGCTCAAAATTCTAAATAGTGGACTATTTTATTTATTAATAATTTTATACTCTCCAGCTCTCTCAGTACCATTTTAGTTGTCCCACAAAACAAATATTTAAATTTGTAAGTGCATCTCTCATGGTACTTTACTCCATGTCTGCATTTGAAATATTCCTTGAACAATTCGTA